ATCTTGATATTTGGGCCGGGTCCTAGATTTTTATCACGTCGGAGATCCGAGCGATTAATTAAAGAGTCTCCCCTCCCAAAGTTTCCCCAATTTTATTTAAGACGAGAGCATTATGAAGAAGGGATCGTAATAATAATAATTTTAATAATAATAATTTTATTGAACCTTTTGTTGCCATTCATACAATGGAAAGGTAAGTCAGTAACTATTGTATAACAAATAAAAAATGATTAAATCTATAATAAGCGTGGGGATATTTCAATTCAAATAACATACAACAGATAACATCTATGACTTCACATATTCTTGGAGCGAGTAATAGCAATTGCTGACTAGATAAATTCTAAGAGCATTTGTAGTTTGAGATCGTTCCGTATTCTGATTATTTTTTGCATTATTATTGTACTGTTTAATTACAAGGTTTAATATTTTCCCTCCGTTATCATAAGGGAGGTGTTTGCTTTCCTTTGTTTTAATTTCCACTAAATATAGATAGGCAACTTCTGATGGCGCTCGAGATTAACCTTACCGACTCCGCCGATTAGAGCAGCTTCTGCTGGAAATTTTATATAATTGTAATTTTATTGTTAACGCATTACGTATAGTTTAAATTTTCTATTTTCATCACTATCATTTATTTTTGATTTTGTTTTTTTTTTTTTTTTATTGTTAGTCTTTTTTTTTCTTTTTTCATTTTGTTAAATGCTAGAAATAGCAAATGAATTGCCTGGTATCGATGATAAGTATATTAATTTGCAATCATTTTCGAGCTCCGTGAAAAATGAGAAATGTGAATTGTTTAGTATATTTCACACAAATAAAAAAATTTTGATTATTTAGCAAGTATCAAACCACTTCTAAACTCCATGCAAGTGATTGTATTAAGCGAAACGTGGAATTGCGTAAGTACAAAATACTTTGAACTGAATGGCTAATGGCTTTATTACAACGCGAGTAAGCTAAACCAAAATGACGGTGTAATAATATATATTAAATTAACAATTATACAATCCGCTAATAACATTGTGATTAATGGGTTTTGATTTATAAGAACACGATTAAAACTGCACAATCATATAATAATCATGACAAGCATCTATCGCCCACCATCTTATGATATCAACTGCTTCTTAACTTCTCTTAAATTATATTTTAAAAATCATATCGAAAACTGTGTTGAAATTCTAATCGGAGATATAAATATAGATTTATTAAGCAGTGGAATTCATAATTAAATTGTTGAGTGAATTTTCATTTGTTCCATATATCAACAAGCCTACAAGAATATCTGGTGATTCACCAATCATGCATAGACCACATTTTCTAAAATTATTGCCCATTGAAGAATCGTTTAATCATTTTATAAACGTCTGCAAAAAAATTATTGCTTCTACTACTATTATTAAACACAAAAGAATTAAAAAGAAGAAAGAGTGGGCAAAAGATAAATTATTTTTATTTTTTAAGTATAGTTTGAATAAATCTTGTTTTATTAGAATTTCTTGCAATAATTCAACATACCTGTCATATCAAAAACAAAGAAATAAAGTAAGTAATTTAATAAAATTTCAAAAAATGACATATTTTCAAAATAATATTGCACATACTCAAAATATATCTGAACTATGGGAAGCGACCAAAAAGGCAGCTAATATAGAAAAATCAAAAGTCCCTATAAATCGAATAGTTGACGAGAATGGATACGTAGTGAAGGATATGAGTGAAATAGTGGAATTTTTTAATGACTAGGTACTTCGTATCCGTTCCCGAAACGTTAGCTTCTCGTGTCAGTACCTCGGGAACTTACAAAGATACCATCTCTTTTGTTACAAAAACTTTTTCATGGTGTCCAATCATTGATAAAGACGTAGAAAACTCTATAAAAGACTTAAAGGTAAGAGTATCAGGTGGTTATGACAATATTTCTTCGAGTACATTAAAACTTATCGCACATTCCGTCACCCTACCATTATCCACACTATACAATCGTTGTCTTATTGAGGGATATTTTCCTACTGTTTTAAAAAATGGATATACCCTTACATAAAAGTGGTGATAAGACCAAGGTAAGTAATTACAGACCAATTGCACTAACCAGTTTTGTCAAAAATATTTGAAAAAATTATTCACAAACAATTACTGTCTTTCTTCCAAAGATTTGATATTCTTTCAGGATCACAATATGGATTTATGAAAAATAAATCGTCTGAAGATGCGCTGACTGACCTTGTTAAAAAAATTATAACGCCTCTTGATAACTCTGAGTATTGTCTAGCAGTATTCTTAGATCTTGCTAAAGCTTTTGATACAGTGATTCATGACATATTATGTGATAAATTATTTAAATATGGCGTTAGTCTTTCACTTATTAAATCGTATCTTTACAATAGAACACAAGCTGTAAGAATTGATGGGACGATGAGTGCTGAAAAGACTGTAAGGTTTGGAGTTCCTCAAGGATCTATTCTGGGACCTTTACTTTTTATAATATATATAAACGACCTATTGAATTTATCACTGCAAAATGCTAAGTTGTTCTCGTATGCAGACGATACAGTACTCTTTGTCTCGGCAGATTCAAAAAATAGATACAACCTCAGGTCATATGAGCATAATTAAACACTGGCTAGATAACAACATCTTAACGTTAAACTACCAAAAGTCCTCTTACACTGTAGATAATGTAGACAGTTTGCTCATACACGTAAAGGATTGCACAATGAGACAATGTAATTGTGACATAAAAATTAATAAATGTAATACTGTGAAGTATTTGGGGGTCATGTTAGACAGCCGCCTAAGGTGGGATACTCAAATTCAATACCTAACCAACAAATTAAGGAAACTAATATATCTTTTTAAATCTATAAACAGTGTAATGAGTGTCGCTTCCAAGAAAATTATTTATTACGGCGTATGTCAATCTATAATATCGTATGGGATATTAACATGGAGGTCAACACCAGATGTTTACATGAGTCGTTTGTTTATTGTCCAAAAACTAATTTTAAAAATATTATTTCGAAAACCGTTAATGCTATCATCAGAACAACTCTTTAAAGAAACTAAGTTGTATTCTATTTATCATCTTTACATACTCACCTTATTAAAATACATCTACAAAAGCAAGTCTACACTGCTTAATGTTCCTACTCACAACTACACTACAAGATTCAAAACTTTAAGTTTATCTTACAATATAACAGTTAACAAACAAATTGCACAAAAAACTTCACTTTTCATGTAATCAAGGTCTATAGGTAACCATTTTCAACTAAAGTACAATATCTCCTCGTTTTTTATTCTATCGAATAAATCATTTTTGAAAAATGTAAAAAAAATTTGTGCTTCAATGAGTATACAAGAGGTTCGAAACATTCTTTTAGTTCAAATTTAATTTAACTATTAGTCCTTTTATTTATTTTTATTTTTAGCTTATTTTTATTTCATTTCTTAGTTTTTTTTTAAATTTTATTTTTCTTTTTTTTTTAAATTCTATGATCAAGTTATTCACCTTGCACCTGACAAAAGATATTAACAAGTTTTTAAACTTAGATATCTGCTGCAGGTATGAATTCAGTGTTGATATGTTTTTTTTCTCTCTTTTCTTTTTAATGTCCAATGTACCCATGTTTGTGTGAATGAAACTCCGTAGATTTTATACATTTATTTGTAGTGTAATAATTTTTAAGTTTAAAGTGAAAAATATTTTGTTTTTTATGTACAAATAAATGGCTTATTATTATTATTATGATTTTGCGTATGAATGTGGTCTAACCATTTACCATACAAGATCGTTTCGCCTCAACTCCCCCATTTACTAAAATGTGTTCTCTTACAGTAAAGGCGAAAATAAAAACCGTAATGAAGAAATTTGACTGTTTATTGAATCCTTTGCCCCTTATCCTTGAGGACAGAAGAGGGTTATTGACCGACGAGCACCCGCGGCATATCAATATAAGTACACAACAAGAACGACCCCTAATTTAATCAACCAGTAGGAGAAAAAGGAAAATTTGTAACAATCCGTTACAAATCGAAACGGTCACAAAAAATCAAAACGGTCTGAACCGAAACGTACTGTCGCATAAATTTGTCCATTTTCCTAGAGATCCCATCATTTTAAGAGGTTTTTCTTTCATTTAACGTTAATAAGCGAACTATTAGACTTTCGCCAATTACAATTACATTAATATCCATTTAATAACCGTCAATAGTTAACTAGAAAACTCTCCCTAATTACAAGTTGGAAATCGACTAGTTCTAACACAAGCCTAATAAATCCCCAACGGTCCTGGAACCTGTAATATTCCTTCATTAAGCGACGGGTCCTTTTCCCATCTAATAAATTAGCGGTTCTCAATAATATTTAACATTTATGAGATCCTTTTAGGTAACTAACGCAAGAGCATATATTACGCGGTCAATATGTGTACAATATAATTTGTGGGGAGGGGGCGATAATAAAGATGGCATTTGCGGAATAGCGCCAGGTAAGGGTAATTCCCTCTCATTTAGGAAAATACCTCCATAGCCCTTTATTAAATTCCTGTCGAGTTATGAGTTGTTTCCGATAAATTAGATGTATGTAGTTGTAGTAGTTGAGAACTGCATTAGGGGTAATGGTTTGGAACAAAGTTAGGACTTGTGCATGGCAAGGGGAAGGAAAAGCCGAAAGGATGAGTTTTAGATTGCCGTGCAAGGAGTATACCTCGTAGCGATAGAAACGTAAACCTTTCGGGACTTACATGGAAATGGCGTTACTATCAGAGTTCCGCTATAAAATTCGCCACGTTTTCCACCGAAGTCTATTTGCAGTGAAAGAAACTACGAAGGGAATCTCTGCACCTATAAACTTCTTATTACCGCTTTACGCGAGATGGGAAAAGTTAGTTAATGCGTCATATGTACCTACTACATGCAAACGCACTTTCATCTCACGACGCGATTAGACCGAGGTACCTAACGAGCGCGAAAATTGCAAAAAGAAAGTCACTTACTATCCAGCCACTTTGAGTCGTACTTCAAGGTCCGTTTAAAGCTGTACTCTCTTCTGCCGGTCGTCAGGTTATGCAGATCCGTCCTGAAGATGACCGTGTCCGCCTTCGTAAATTCGGCATTCGTACCAGAATACAACCCGGGAAGATCGCCAGGATTACCCTTTTCCACCCATACCGCGGTCGAGTTATCCGCAGGATCGTATGGACACTTTGCTATTCCCATTCCAATTCCCGGAACGAAAGTGTTTCGGCCCAGATGCGTTAGGTTCGACTGCAATTAAAAAAAATCAAGCGTAGAAATTTTATCTCCACGAAAACCTACCCCTATCCATTCCGACAGAGTCGACATAATCTCGTATTTACATTTTCCATTATTCAGAACTTGCATAAAGGTAAAATCAATAAAAGAATCCCTTCTTAAAGCCACGAGGAGAAGGGCTCTTAATGTTTCTGAATTTTTAATGCTCATTGCCACAGTATAGGCATTTGGTGGGAAAAGGTTTGACGAAATAAATGTCGAGATCTCGTATTCTTTGACGTGACGCGTCCTTTATACGAAATACCCAAATCCGAGACCAAAATATTTATTTTAAATTTAATCTCGAAAATGTCATATTAGTATTTGATATTCGTTCCGCTACATTCCCTCCCTTATCGCGTTTTCAAATTCAAAGAGAAACGGGCACGTATCTTGCTTTCAATTGCTCACCCTACGCATTATAATTGTCAAGCAAATAAATGCGCATTCATGCGTAATGCGCGATATTGCGCTATATTAAAACAAATCGTTTTTGGATGTGTAAATGTTGTCGAGGGAAAATACGCTGAAAATTTCTGAATGTCGTTATGCGAAATGTACTGCCAGTTAATAAAATTGAATGCGCGCACTTCTTTTGAGTGCACAAGAAAATCTAATTACGTGTAAGTATTTGGCATTAAATCAATTACCTCTCGCTAGAAGTTCAATGCAAAAAATGGGTCACTTGAACAATTAATCTATCGCAATATACCAAAAGCGACTTGACACTTGATTCTTAGTTTTCTTAAAGATATCAACCTCTGGGAAGCTATTTGTATTGCATGTATTTTTACGATTTATTAATCCATTAACATTGGATTTGATAGAAAAAATCAGTTTCTTAGTAGTAGTAACTTTCTGTTTAATTTTGCCAGCAAGCAATCTGGAAAAACAGGTTTTGAAGTCCATTTTCAAAGAGAAAAAAGGAGAAATCTTCAGTACGTCACTGTAAAATGGATGTCAAAGGGTATCCGGAGGTCAGTTAATTATTTTGCTTGGGAAGGTCAACTCCCTTTATTAAATTGAAAACAAAAACCTGCCAAAAATTGAAACTTAACATTCGAAATTTAAAACATTAATATTGTAAAGCTTCAAGCCTAAACATTAATCGAAGCAAAATTGTAGTACGAGGTGTGAGCTCTACTTCCTTTGGGTTTACGATCATCTTCATATGAAGGCACTATGCATCTCTCTAGAGCAGACCATAATTTTTTGATGAATCATAAAAGTTAATGACACATGCTGTAAAACACAAAATCTCAATACTTCTTAGTAAATGCGCTAGTCGTTGAAGAGATTGCAACTACTTTCAGGTTCAGAGTAAGTCATTTTACTTGGAAAGGATCATAAAAATTTAAGAATTAAGAGAGTGAAACCTGACGATCGCCATTAGCGGGTTAATAATTAACTAAATTCTTATTGAACAACGTAAAGTGGAAGTGCTTTCCTCCAATGAAAGTTAATTTAATATATAAAGCTTTAATGAAGAAGACTTAATATGAAGTTTATGAAATTTTAATACAGAAACTTAGCTCCAGGTGGGTAATTGGGCCTCGGAAAACCTCATCCCTTTTAAAACTTCTTATTACCTTTCATTACATGACACGCCGCGTCGTGTTTTAATAACGTCGACTTTTATTCTTGAAATTTATTAATAATAAACCTTAAAACTAAGCATGTTTGTTATGGCGCCCTAAAAAACTTCCAAACATCACCGTTTCGGTGGCGGTGAAATTTTAATAAAATATAAAAGGTACTCACGTGAACGACCCAATCTTTGGGGTTGTGGGCGTTTGTTCCGCAGAGGTACAGTCTGGTGCCGTCGCCGACGGGTTGGATGACACGAATGTGGTTGCGGCAGTCGAAGTGCTGTAACAAATGGAAATAATAAATTATTTGTTCTCCATTATAAAAAAAGCTTAATTTCAATCGTAAGTACATGTATTATTAAAGGCATTAACAAAAAAAAAACGATTAAAAGTGAGGATGACGAATTTATATGGTTAACAGATGAGTCATTGGAACATACCCCCTAAAACGTTCTCGATTCTGAGAGTATTAGGAGGAATCTACCAGGGGCAACTTTAATTTCTCAATTGGAGCACATTTTGATTTATATTAATGAATTCAAGAGCAACATTGAAAGTAAATTGGAGTGGAAATCGAAAATGCTCCACCGTGGGCTTTCAGTACGCATTATGGACTCAAAATAAACACGCATGTGAAGACAGGGACAGTACATGTGTAGATCTCAAGTTTACAGATCGAGTAGCTCTGAAAAGAAACATTTTGATTAATTGGAATTTTTCTTTACAATAATTCTTTGTTTCGCCGCTAGAGGCCATCCAAGTGTTATAGGTTTATTTTACAATAGATTTTTAGTTCTTTTATCTTTTTTTCTACTTACGCGTACCATTCGCGCCGTGATTTTGCCTTCATATTGATTGCATGTATATTTTTCTCAGTACGCCAATGCTTTTTACTGACTTTTTGTCTAACTGGATAAGGGCTTATTGGTTTTGGCTGTCACCATACTTGGTTGGAGTTATTTCTCTTTCTGATGTTCCTGTGGTTGCTCCATTGAAGCGCTTCTCGCGGATTTGCATTTGCAAGTAACAGTGCGATGTATGTAACGATCAGCATTTTTCTTTAATACGTAATTTCTTTAGCTCAAACTTTGTGTATAGTTCCCATCGTCCTTTCCCCTAAATTGCTTTTACGTTATGATCTACCTGGATATTGTCTATTGTCTACGTAGTACTCGAATAAAATCGCATTTTTACCTGAACCCGCCATCTGAGCGAGATCGACATTGGCGACATCATGTGATTCGACCTCATTCTACCAAAATTAGAGGACAAAGATGTGCATCTACCTCATTCTACCTACATTAACCTGGTGGTTAGTTCTTTACTAGGAGAAGGTAAAAGTTGTCGCTTTGATTTCTAGCGTCGTATTTTAAACGTCGAAAAAGCAATCCAGATGCTGTAACTAATTTCACACAACGAAGAATTGACATAATTTATAATGTTTTCAATTCTCGCGTCAAATTTAGCTATGGCATGGGGTCGAAGTCGTAGAAATGATTGCAAGGGGTGCAAATGCGGGTCACACTAATACAGACTATTGTATAAAATATAGATCACAAATAAAGTATTATTATTATTATTAGATTAAATTTGCATCCTTTTCCTACCGCTGTAACTTTGTTCTATATCGAATTTAGTAAAATTTTGGATATTCACAATTTTGCAAAGTGGTTGCGAATTTCACATTACATTACTTTTAGTTAATCAAATATTAATCTACTTTCAATTTGCACCCTCTTACGGAGTTCGGAAAGTATTTTTTTCGATCTTTAGTTAGTGTATAAGTACAACTTTTATAATTGTGTGAGAATAGTTATTGCGTCTTGTTGTTTTTAGCACATTTTCCAACGTAGTTGGGTGCGCCATTGCCGAGGCCATTGCAGTCACTTTATCTGCTCGTCCATTATTTATGTAGATATTTCTTTGAAATTTTAACCATACGTCCAGTAAAGAAAAACAGCGCCCATAATAGCTATGGCCTTTCGGGAAATATTGATCAGTGCATGGAAAATGCACTGAAGTTACTCGCCTTAGGGCGATAACCTTTTTACTTGCACTTTTTATTTGTAAAAGTGTAGTTTTTATCTTACTTTGACCGGCTGACTGGCTGGCAGGCAGAAAATGAGATACTTGCTCTAGTGCATGATGAGTGATGACATTCGGAAACCAATCTAGAGGTGATTTTACAGTGGCCAAGTGTCTGTAGGACAGAACTTTTTTGCACTGAGCGTTAGTCCTACCAACTCTGACTGGAATATAGTAGGAAGTTTGGCTAGTGGTTGGGTGGGTTGTAGGACAATTCGCACCCGACTAATTCGCTCACGGACAATTCGCACCAGAATTTCGCTCCCCTGAGAGGGTATTTTGTGTATGGTTGACTTTTAACATAGAAAGTCGGCTGTGAAGTATTAAATTAAATCAGAGCTTGAAATCTCCAATATTACTCACCAATATCACGTTTTATTACTTTGTGCATGTAATAGACGTATACCTACATTTAAAATTTGGATACTTTCAATATTAACATATAATTTGGAATCGTGACGTCCATTTTGTGTTCAAACTCTAAATGGGATAATTTATTAATATTGAATAAAAGTTCCCTAAACCGTTCCCATATAATTTAATAAAACGAAGTGATACACTACATGTTTCGACCAACGGTCATCTTCAGGTGATCTACAAGATGGTAGAGATATTGAGGAGAGACTATAGCTATAAAACTTACAATAGATGGAAAACAATTAAAAACCCAAAAGGGCAGTAAAACTGGAAAGGCCAACGACCATATCCGTGGTTGGTTCCAGAGTAAAATTGAAATTTGAAGAGGTTGATAAACTAATTTTTTTGCAAGGGAGGGCCGAACCTAAAAACTAACATTAGACGACGGTATAAGCAACGATGAAACTTACGTATAAAAAAGTCAAAAGGTCAAAAGACGATATCCTAACTAATAAAATACCCAATTAAGGGCTTTGAAACTGGAAACCATCTGCACTTCCAAAATCAGTGCTCGGTTTAGCTAATCTTACCTTGTCATCGTTGACCCAGATCCTGGCATTGCATGTTAAACTAAGAGCCGATGGATCCTTCTTTGCTCTTCTCGCTCGACACAGCCATGATGAGCAGTTTTGGAGTTTAAGGTTCTTAGCAAAGAGGTACATGTATCCTTCATAGATTATGTATCTCTTTCCCTTTTCGTTGTACCGAACTCCATTGTTACGCGCCCGTATAGTTTGCACCGCCTAAATCTCATATCCATTATCAACTTTTTGTAACAAATCAAATTTCAACTTTTAGCCTCAGGGACAAGTCCATTTTTGATGATATTTTCCTTGATTTTGGCATTTTAATGTAGCACTTAAATATTTATGTTGGTTAAATAATAGCTATACAATTTGTAGAGGAATAATTTTTTTAATAGTATTTATGAGGCAAGAATTCATACGTACAATCCTATGTACCTTTTTAAATGGAATGGACCATATCAAAGCAGTAGAGATTTTAGGTCACTTTAATAGCATCCATATCACTCAAAATCTGGAATTTAGTACTTATTTTATTGTAATCTCCGTATTAAACATGAGAACACTTGCTAAAGGTACCATGAATGAAAATTCATTTTAAAAAAAACAAAAAAAAAGGTAAAAAGACACTCATCCGTGATGTAAATTGTCCATGCACTCATGTTCACAAGTAGACGGATGCTGCTAAACGCTGGTATCGGTCTATCAGCAAAACTGTCACCTGACATTTCTTAAACCTATTTACCCAGTTTTATTGTACCAATTCACAATCAAGGTTTTTTTCATTTGGAAACCTTTTAGCACGTACAAATAATATTGCAATAGGAATATAAAAGTCTAAATAAAATTTTAACAATTATTATTTGTTAATAGCTGCAAGTTAAGTTTCCTAGTTCTCTAACCTTCGATGTCGTCCATTTAAAGGACACATAACGAAATACGTATGTATTGTCTTAAAAGAATCTCAAGTAAATTATAATCATATTTGAACGTAAAACAAATAGATTCTTGAGAGTTTCCGTAAAATTAAAGAGATAAGAACTGTAAAGTAACGAAAAAAGCAAAAAATGTTGATAAATATCGTGAAAAAAATTGATCTTGCTATAAATTATATGGCTATTATTTAAATAATATACTGAAATTGTGAAGATCCATGACTCTCAATGGGGTGCTTAAGAAGCTTCGGAGAAATAACACCAAAATCTACCCATTTATTATTATAACAATTTTTATGGGGAGATTTTGGTGTTATTTCTCCGAAGCTAAATAATATACGGTGGTGCATTAGAAACGATACATAGCTATTTCTGTAAATTAAAATAATTTTCAAAAAACGCTTTGGCACGTCAAATTGATCATGGAAGGAAACAGTGTCTAAAATAAAACTTGCTCACTAATGTCTTTGTCTCGCATCGCTGACAGTGCAACCCTTAAAATCTTAAATGATGCATCGCTGGTAAGGTCGCCCATCTCTGAATTCGGATATGTAATTTTTTTGGTTTAGTTGTTTCATTTCCAGCGCATTCCACGTTGCAGGTACAAGTTTTCTCTTTTTATACCACTTGCAACTGCATAATTTTGCGCACGATCGAGTTATCTTCTATATTACATAGTGATCGGCCCGACATCCTTGCAATGACATAAACAACAGCGCGCCCTCAACTTACTTTTAAAATATTTCGAAAGTATCAAATCTAAAAAATTATAGTCTCACGAAATTCAGAGAAGGAAAGGCTTTCCAATGATGTCCTATCTTCCTTGTTGCGCAATTACCAATGCTAAGGGTTTTGCTTTAGTACTAGGTATGCCATACAAAAATTAAAAAGGAACTATATAGGTACTTAATAATTACAAACATTTAAAAGAAAAAATCATCAATATCGACCTGTTCCTAAAACGTTTCAAGATTTTCAAAACCCTTACTGTTTTGATTATTAACAATCTCTTAAAAAAGTGCCAGAATTTTTCCATGTATCTCTTCAAACTAAAAATAAATAACAGTAAGAAAATCAAAAAGAAACTTTAAGTTCATTCCCTACCATAGTTGTAACAAAGATAACGCAAAAAAATAAGCAGCACTACCACCAGAAATAAAATTTTTTAAAATTAAAAAAAAAGTATACACAAAATCAAAACCCGTGCTCAGATAAATTTAAAATACCACTCTGTCAAACGTTCAAGAATGAAGATACTATACAGGCGTTGAAGTTCTAGTTAGTTGTGATCATACGTACTTAAACCTGATTTTTC